GTAGCAGTATAGGTGAAAGAGTGGGTGGAGGGAAGAGGAGTTGGCAGCATCGAGGGCAGAGGGGGTAGGACCAGGGCCTGGTGGCACAGTAGGACAGGAGAAACAGCACCATATATAGACTGGAGATTGTAGCCATCCCTCCAGGTGCTGAAGGCACCTGGAGCTTGGCCACCTGGAGTGACAAGAGCCCATCATGGGCACAGGGCCGGATGACTCAGTATGGAAGGATTCTGGGGACAGCACTGGGGACTGGGAAGATGACTCTAGGGGGGCTGGGAGACTATTCAAGAGACAGACAAGGCTCTGTAAAAGGAATACTCTTCACGGTGGGGCGGAAAATGACTGGAAAGTTTGGGAAGTTCTGGGTCCTCACTGTGGGACTGATGGTTGCCATTTCCTGCTCTTCAACCTCTTCCCAGTTGTGTATGCTTTTTAACCACAGGACAGGTGCTCCTGTTCCAATGGACAAATGTGAAACAAGAGAGAAGGGAGAAGCTGAGGCACTGTGTACGTGAAGTGCTGAGTTCAAGGTCACACAGGCAGTTTGGGCAGTGTCTCCTATCTACTCCTGGCACTGGCGTAGTGCTTCCCCAGGTCTGTCCCTGTACCACTGCTCCCTGCCACCCCCAGCCTCCACCCAGCTCCTTGGGTTTCCAGTCCTGCCTCCAGCTGCACTGGGCCTTGGTTATTTATAGAGTGTCAGATGCCCGGGGTCGTCTTTGCTAGCAGCTGCAGGTCAGTTCCCTCCCCAAGTGCCAGGGCTGGTGAAGAACCAAAATCAGAGGCTGGAGGTCAGAGAAGTCCAACCCTGGGGGGCTGGGAACAGAAACAGTAATGTCATGTCTGCTGTTCGACCACGCTTTATTCTCATCTCTCCAATACCCTCCCACCATAGCTCATCTTAAACTTACAACAATCTTGAGTGGAGAGCAGCTGGGGAAGCTGAGGCAGAGAATGGTGAAAGTATGCCAAAGTCATATGGCCATTCCGCTGCCTCTATGTGGGGGGTTGGGAGTAGTAGGAAGTGGAGAAGTCTGGTTGGGGTTGTGGGAGGGCAGAGAAATCTCAGGGTAACAGACCTGCCAAAGTGGCTGCTTTGGCATTTGTGTCCCTGTCCCTCTGCCCTGTGGCCTGGCATGGTCTGGAGGTTGACAGCTTAATGAGTAAAAATGATGAGCCTTAGAACTTGAGCTGGGGCCCCGGAGCACAGCAGAGTTGCCAGAGCCAGAGGTCAAGGCCAGGGAATTTCTAATGGCCCCTTAGGAGTGTAACTCAAGTCAAGGCCCCATCTTTGGACTCCTCTTTTTTTATTTTCCTGCCGGCTAGCACCTCCCCCACACACCCCCAACTGTCGCTGCAGCCTCCTCTCCATTCTCAGCTGGAGGATTAATTGAAGTAGATGGTAAATTCTTATACTACCCACCCCCACGATGACTCACTGCATGATCACTGTACAGTCTAAGAGCTGGAACCAAACAGAATTACCAGGCTGCGTCCTCTAGGGGAAGTGGTAGGTGGTTTTGATTTACTCACTGTCTTGGATTATTTGCAGGCTTGCCCCATCCCAGGTTACTGAGAGGAAACCACTTCTGTCCTAGTGCTGGGGCTCTCTAGGTCCCCATTCTCTCCTCATCCCCATGCCTGGGGTTCATTCTCCAGAGCACTAACTGTCCCCCAAAGTCTGCACTTACGTCGGTGGCCTTCTTCTCGGCCTGCTCCAGTTTCTCCTGGGCATCCTTCACTGCTTCAGAATACTTTTCCACCTCGTCCTCTGTCCCCTTCAGCTTTTTCTGGAGGGCCTGCTGCTCCTCCTCCAGCTGGAAAGAGGGGACTTGATCAGCCAGGCCTGAGTGGGGGCCCAGGCCCAGGAAGGAGGCAAGAGTTGGTGTAGGGGAGCTGCTGAGAGATATTTAGAAGCTGTTGGGGAGGAAGAGGGATACAGAGGAGGGACAGTATAGTCAAGGGAGGTTAGGGAGACATGGCCGGGGTAGAAAGGAAGCTTCGGCCCCCAAGAACTAGGACCCATTATAGCCATGCAAGGGCAGAAGTGGATGTTAGGGGGCTGGGGCTTCCCAGGCTATAGGGGGTGAGATGAGTGTGGCTCTTCTTAGGGCCCTGAGGTGTAGCGAAGGGTCACCCCACCCTCTGGGTGAGAGAGAGAGCCTTGGCGAGCAGGTCAGGGCTGGGGAACCCAGAGTCCTTCTTGGTCCGGGGTTGGGACACCCCTTGAAAGTGGGGGTGGGAGGCTGCACTGGGCCTGGGGCCCCCACCTGCTTGCAGCGATCTTCAGCTTGCTTCTTGTCGGCCTCGGCCTGCTCGGCACGGTCGATGGCATTCTCCTTGTCCAGCTTTAGCATCTGCATCTTCTTCTTGATGGCGTCCATGGCTGCGGTGGGGGGCGGGCCGGCTGGCGGGCGACGGAGACCGGGAGGACTGGGCTGACTGCGCGAGCTGGGCGCACGGGTGGCGGGTATGGAGGACCAAGCCGGACTGGGATGTCCCAGCCAGCTGCCTAAAAGGCGGGGAGGGACCGGGCGGAGCCGGGGACCAGGACCCTCCCCCACCTCAGCCGAAACCTTGTAGGGGCAGAAGCACTGCCCTGCAGGGGCGCGCGGCCACCCCCTGCTCCCACTCTCCCGGGACCGCCCCCCCTGGGGTCCCGCCCCCATCTCCT